CATAGAACGGACATTTTACAATAACAAGCCACACGGTCTTCACAGTCGGAAAAATTGAACTTGACGTCGCTATCGTCTACCTTCGTAAATCTTCGTCCACCACACTTTTTCGGAGGCAAACGTCCCCAGTCAATAATTTGTTTGACTTCAGATTTGTCCTATAATAGCACCCATTGGTCCTGAGGTACTCCTTGAACCCTATCCCTTCTTGCAACATTCCGTACACATCTAGACCCTCTCCCTTGTCCTTGGTTTCTTGGTTACTGTAGACTGTGTTCCTGTCTCTCGAAAAGAGCAACGTATACCTTCTTCTTAAACTCCCCTAGGCCGACCGTATAAACTTGGTCAATTTCGAACTCCGTCCATACGTCATCCACAACCTTAGCCCACTCCGTGGGTTGTCTACCTCTCTTCTTGGTGCCCGGGGGAGGGGGGAGGGGGGAGCAGGGACGCGGCGGTGGTGGGTGCAGGGGGGGGGGGGGTGAGGGGGAACGTTGGGGGCGGCGAGGGGCAACTAGGGGGTAGGAGCGACGGTGACAACAAGACAGCGGGAAGGACACGGTGGACGAAAATTCGGACGATGAAGCTGACTGAAGTTAGTTGTGAGCAGAGATTCTTCTCGTGTTCCCTTGCATTGTTCGTGTTGTTTCGTTGTTACAAACCACGTTCTTTAACTCGTACCGGTGAACACCTGTGATATTCTTGCGTGTGCTTTGTGGTACCTCTCTGTCAGACACATTCCATGGCCCAAATGGGGAACAGGGACGTGCGGACGAAGGCGAACTACAATAGCAGCACGGATCGGATGTGGACGACGAGAACATGGCGTGTATATGTACATACCGGACGGGTTTCGCGTTCGGGCACCTAGGCCCGCTGCTCTTGGCAGCTTGCTGCTGCCGTAGGTTGAGGTACTCGTCAGGCTGGACATGATGTTGTTTGGTGAAATCACCACTCTGCCGTCTCAGCATCGCAGCAGTTATACCTCTGTGACTATACTGTATTGTGAGAATGTCTCGAAGCATGAAACTGCCATTGGAAAGGTATCTGTGCAAACCCGAACGCGGCGGCAGGCTCGTAAGTTTTCCTCAAGGAGAACACGGCAGAACAGTAGGATGGTGGCTACAACGGGCGTCAAAGATCAGGAAGGGCAAGAGCGCCCAATTTGGCCCTTGTAGAGCTCCATGACTCTGTGCGCTATTTCTTGCTGGGCATTATGCATGGGATGGTGTGGCATTTGTACCTGGGACTGATCGCGGAAGATGGTGTTCGTGTTTGGATCCTATGAGTCGTGTCGTAGTGAAGACTCTCGAGTAGGGCCTACCTCTGGTGCTGCGAAAGCATGGTGGGACGCACAAACGAACAGAACGAATCGTGCTGACGAGTATGTACCACAGCAGCATATATATCAAGACTCATATACAATAATCCAACCAAGCAACGTTGTCAGTCCTGTGTTGGGGCGCTGGTTGAAAACAAAATAGAGCAAGCTCAGCGGAAAATGCCTGGCCGAAAACCAAGGTCCGTCAAGTATGGGGACAAGCCGTCGGTTGAGGCAGCCACCATGCCGTGAGGCTGGAGCGGAACAAGAGGTTCATCTTGACTAACGGCTGTATCATCTACCAAGCTGTCTCTCGTATGTCTCTTGTTGCCATCTGGTGGTTCAGCTGGAAAAACGCCGCGCAACAAGCTGATGTTTGTGATGCGACTCGAATCCCGGCGGAGTCACATTTCATGCTTCTTCACATGGTGTACAACGTGGGTAGCAATAATACGTGTGCACACGAGAGTTGACCTCATGGTCGATGAGTCAGAGGAACGATTGAACCCTTCTCACGATGAAATGGAGGCAAGCACCACAGAAGGTACCGATGTCTTCACGAGAAATATGTCTGGCATGACACCCACACACACTCCTGTCGGCGGAGCCCTATGCCTAGAAAGCGTAATTGCGTCCTATGTCCTGCTTGCTCATAAGAAGACCAATCCGCTCGCCATATGATGCATTGTATTGCCCGGGCCGTGACGTCCACTCATGCCTGTTATTATTTGTGAGAGTTATCACATGCCCCATGGACCGACTAGCGTAGCTCGATCGTTCCATAACCAAAGGAGGCTGCCATAGAGGAGTTGTCTTGGTAAGTTCTCCACAAGAGATTACGGTGCAGATATCGGTCGTTTTTCGCACCCCCTCTTGGTTGTGGCGCAATCGAGCCATATGAAACTTGGTCGATCACTCGAAACAAAGGTTTTCGGTACACATACACTAAATTCAAGTACGTTCGATCGTTGGGATACTTGTAACTTGTGACGTTTTGACCCTGCCCCAAAATAGGTGCTTTTGGCAGAGCGATGGGTGTGGAGACGGGCTTGGTTGTGGGAGCGAGGGGGAAAACGATGGCAAGAGCATGGACGGTGGCGATCTCAGTTGACGACGGTGACGATGACGCACGGGCGCACGGGAAACAAAAAAAATGATTTTGAAGAGCGGTTGGACCGAAACGGCTAGAAAAAGCCACCGTGAGCTCGGGTTTTACGAACACCCTGCTGGGGGTGCAGACCATCCGCGTCGCGCCCCAGAAGAGCACAGCAGCTTTACTTTTTACAGACTACGGTTTGCTGGTAGGGAGAGAGAAACTACAGAGACACGCACACAGCAGCAGTGGCCGCATCGTGTGGGGGGGCCAGTCCAGCATATGATCGCTTCTCAAAAGCCAGGTACGGTGGATAGACACGACTGCTTGCTGTACGAGGCTCCATCGTCTTACGTACCCCACTGCTCCTTGCCCGGTTCTTGGAACGGCGGCAGACGGAACGTCTGCTACATACTTTGCTGTGTCGCGGGGTTGTGGCGAATGTAATGTTCTTATCCAGGGAGGCAGGCTGGGCAACCACCGCCTGATAGAACTGGTTGGCTCTCTCTCCCTCTCTGTGTGTCTGTCTGTCAGCCTCTCTCTGTCTCTGTCTCTCTCTCCTTGACAACACTCTGCTCTGTGGATGACGACTGATGATGGTCCCTCCCGGGCGATGTACGGCAACAACTTTCCGCCCCATTTCGCCGTGTGTGCGTTGGCTGCGCCCGCGGCCCCACCCCCTCCAGCGGGAACCAATGTGGGCGAAGCAGGAGATTCCGTCATCGAGCCGGCTGCTGCTGCTGCTGCTGTTATCCGCCGGAAGTCTGCAAGACAGGTACGTAATCTGTCCTCTCTCGCGGGGACCTACTTTTTTTGTGTGGGTTCCTTGAGTGCCCGTTTTTTCGGCGCAATTTTTCATGTGACTGCTGAGCACTCAGAGGATTATCCTCTCATCATAAGCAGTTTACCGACATCTGGGCGAAATGAATCAGTGCTGTGAGACCATACATAGCGCACGGGCGACCCCGCTGCTGTTCTCTTCGAGGGCCGGGGGCGTCCACGCTTTGGCTTGTGCACTTGGTAGGCCATTCGCTGGTACTTTGGGTATATTATCGTGCCCATTGTTGTTGTTGGCCGAAACCTACCGTTACGTTGTACCTGTAGTATCAAACTACATAGCGCCGCCGTTTCTTTGGAGCGCTTGAAGTTCACCTCCTCTTGAACAACGTAGCGAAAGGTTTGGTTGTGTCATTGTATCTGCAAGTCCCGTTGCAGGATTCCAAGATATTTATTTCGTCTATGTATATGCTGCTGTGTGAGCCAGGGTGCATGTTCTCTGCCAAGCGCGCATCTGGGGGGAGGGGGGGTGATGTCATGCACCTCAACTATTACTGCTGTTTGGCTACGTTCGATAAGCAGGCACTGACCGATCGAGCAAGCCGCGGCTTGTCCTTGATGTCCGGCTTCAAGTCGAGGCAGGAAAAGGTAAGATCGCGCGCAAAAGGAAAGCACTATGCATAGTCCTCGCCCTGCCTTGTTTAGAAAGTATACATAATCTCACGGAAAGACTATACAAGTACCCGTTCGAGAAATAACCACAGCAGCAGTCCTTGGGTACACATCTAGATATCTAGATAGCTGGTGCGCTGGAATTTTGTGCTGTGTGGGGTATGGAGGCATGCGACGCAACTTAGGTTTGTGACTCTCCTTGCCAAGAGTCCACAGAGGTGTTTCTTTTATTATATTGCACACGCCGAAAACATGGCCGGCCGTGTGTGCGTGCGTGTCTGTCTCGTTCTGAATGACGACTCCGCCGAAGGTCGTACTGGGCGCTTCTTCGCATTGTGTCTTGTGCATGTGTATGCATGCGGACGGTGTATTCTTGCTGCCATGTTAATTGTTGGTGCCAAGTACAGAACCGCATTTGTGGTATCGCTGACAACAGAAATCACCGCGAACCAACCGTCCGTGGCTAATGTTTTTTACTTCGAAATATCGATGAAACGCTTCTTATTAGCGACACGATTAGCGACACGGTAACGCATAGTTATTCTGGGTCACTCTCCCCCCCCCCCCGCCCCCCCCGATGTTTGCCATTGGGGTTGGGTTTTCGTCGCTTGGCAACGACGTTGTAAAACAAGCCAATTCACTTCGTGAACTCGGCAACCAGGTTACCGTTTTTTTTTTTACCTCTGTTTTTTTTTTGGCGGTAACCATAATGGTGGTCGAGTAGATCATGTTGTGCGGGGTCGAGAAACCTCACTCCGCGCAACGGGGGATGATCGCACCACGTTACCGTTTTTTTTTTTTTACCTCGTTTTTTTTTTTTGGCGGTAGCCATAATGGTGGTCGAGCAGATCATGTTGTGCGGGGTCGAGAACCCTCACTCCGCGCAACGGGGGATGATCGCACCACGTTGTGTTAAAATGGTCAAGCTCCCTCGAGGCAGTTACACAGTGCTTACAACTGTCTCTGGAAGTGAAAGCACCAGAAAATAAATTAAGTCATACGTAGCTGTCATCCGTACGCAAGGAAGTAAGCACAAGATGCCGAACACCCTTAGCAGGATGGCAGCTCACCCTTCATGCGACTCGCCAAATACCTCACGGTGCTTCGCGCTTGGTGATGTGAGAGCCTGGTCCGGTGAGAACCCGGCGTGCTCCGTCCCGGCTTTGTAGGGATGCGAGGTCAATGGTCTAATGACTACGGCATGCACGACTATGAGTACACCCCCCCCCCCCCCTCTCCCCCTATGTTTGCCTTTCCCGCGTCTGCTCCCACAAAGACGGGCGACGTTCCAACCAAGCTCGGGTGGCTAGACCGGAGTCCTGTCTCGAGAAAAGGAGACAAGGGCGTGGCAGCTGGCGCTGGTGGTGGTGATGCCGGCGCTGCCGCTGCTGCTGCCAGCACTTCGGGTGCCCCTCACGCTGCAGCTACCTTTGCCGCCGCCGCTACCGCTGTTACTCGTGCTGGGCGATCGAGCTCGGAGGAAGATTTCGGGGCGGTGGGTGGACCGGGACACTTGACGAAGCTGGTGCTCAAGTTTACGACCGCGTCGGAATCGGACGTGCAGCCCTCGTGCGAGGTACGGTACGGACGTGCTCGATCCCTCGTCGGCTTTCGGCCGCTGGCTGTTGTTGCTGCTGTGGGGAGCAATGATGGGTGTGTTGCAGCGGATTTGATTTCTCCTGTCGTGTAGGATGAACGTGTCACAACGTGTGCGTCGTATGTATTGCGACGTGCTCTTCCATCATTCATACTTGGAAGCACTCCTTGCTTTTCTTTTCGGGGAGGGAGGGGAGTCGCTCGAGGTCTATTTTTCTCTCTTTCTCTCTCTCCCCTCCCGTTCTCTCGCTCCCTCGCTCTCTCTTTCCCTCTGTTTGTGTGCACATTTCCGCACGTCACAAGTCTGTTTCCCTTTTTTCTCCGAGCCGGTACGCATTCGCTCATAGCCCTCTCCTCTTTTTAGACTGCCTACATGTATCTCTTTTCTCTCTCTTTGTCGCCCGCTTCTCTCGCTCTCGCCGTGCTTCCACCATGCGACACGAAAGATCTCCACGGCCGGTGCCAGCATCGGGCAGTCGGAGGACAACACCGTCTCCATCCCTTCGGATAGCATGCTGGCCCCGCTAAACCACGCGATGGTCACGTACGAACACGCCCGGGGAGGAAGCAACAACAACGACAGCGGCGGCGGCGGGGCTAGAAGTCGTGGCGATGGCGGCGGCAGGGACGTTGTCCCAGGAGCAGGAGTCAACGGCGGCGATGGTGGTAGCAGTGGAGGGGTTCGGGAAGGAGATGACACAAACGGCCTCCACGATAGCGGCGACCGCGGGCGAGACGGCGGCGGCGGCGGCGGCGGCGGTGGTGGTGGCAGCAGCAGCGCAGACGCTGAGGACGGGGGGGGGGTCGAAGGAGGGCCGGGGGGGTTCTTCTTTTCCGACGGAGGACAGGGCACGGACTTCGCGGCGGCGTTCCGAATACGTGTCGGCGAGGGGAACCGGGAGTGGCGGTTAACTCAGGCAAGCGGGTGCTGCGGAGAGGGAGGGAGAGACGCGCCGTTCGCGGGGCGCGGAGCGGGAGGAAGACATTTTCCGTGGGCGTTTGTTGTTTGACTTTTTTGTTTGTTCGTCTCGGGGAGGGGGGTGATCGTTCGTCTTGAGCGTCCTCTTCTTTCGTTGGACTATTTTTATGTTTTATGTGTGTCCTAGTGCTGATGGTGAATCAGAGCGACGATGACACATGGTGGGTTTGCTCGGCAGCTGAGTGGGTGGGTTGAGGTGGCGAAAGATGTTCGGGGAGAGCGGTGCGTCTGTCGTACAGTACAGTATAGTATAGTACAGTACAGTACAGCAGTACAGTACTCAGGAAACCTTGCTCTTTGACGACGACGACGTCGACGACGCTGACAACCGTTTCGCGCGTTCGTCTGCAGCGGTAGTGCTCTGCATGCGAGAAGTGCCGCCAGTGCTAACTCATCTGACGCGCAAAGGAACGCCCTCATTACGATTCTCCCTAGCGTACCTGTGTACCATCCTCGATGGGAGTTGCACCCACCTAGTGCCACAAGGTACACGGCTTACCGATGTGCCGCGTATCTTCTGCTCCGCACGATTGATTGCTTTTTTTATTTTCTTAATATAGGGCTGCCACTTCTCTGCTGGGCTGACTGTGTTCCGAGCACATGTGACAAGGCCGACGAGTGGCGAGTCTAACGACGACGACAGCAATGCCGACGAGGAGGCCGGCCGGTCATCCCCGTCACCAGCGTTCGATGCTTCAGTTGTCGCAGCGGAAAATGACGCGGAGGTGACACCATTAATCGCTGCTTTCTCTTCGTCGTGCAAGAGCACCCGGCTTGAGCTATCATCCTGCTGTGTTTTGCTGCTGTCCAAGTCGGTGGCGGTGGCAGTGCGCTTCGTTGCCTGCCGCCGCTGGTTTTGTCGTTATTCGTGGGGCACAATATGGTACAGCTGTTCGTCGTATCTGCGTGTTGAAGCGAAATCCTCCGCTCGTGCCCCCACCACAATGGAAATACTCGCAGTATATTTTTAACCCAACGAGTGAAGGAAATCTGACATCTTCATGCGCCCGTACTTGTCTTCTGGTTTGATGTTTGCAAGGGGGTGGTGAGGGCTCCCGAAGAAGAAGACGCTGTCGGCAGCAGCAGCAGCAGCAGCAGCAGCAGCAGGGGCAAGGAAGACGGCTCTGTTGTGTCCATCGCCGCGAGCGCAGACGGCGGCAGTAGTACCCGTGCTGCAGAAGAAGTGCCGACAATCGATGCCGACGCCGGTTGCGCCCACGCCATTAATGATGCCTCGAACGATACCGGCGTGGTGGAATCGGCAAAGCAGCCGCCACCGCCGCCGCCGCCGGCAACAGCAGCAACAGCAGCAGCTACAGCAGCAGCAGCAGCAACAGCAACGACACCAACGGCAACAGCAGAAGCACCAAGCGCTGCTGTAGCCCAAGCACAGCACGCTACAGCAGAAGCAGAGGGGAGGGTGTTGTCGCCGGCAGAGCCATCCCGCCTGTGGCTTGAAGCCGTGGCGGGGTGCCTGAAGGGCCGCAGCTGGATGGTAGAGGCGGCCGGAGCTACGCTGGGCAGGGCCAGCGATAACACCCTCAGCCTCGCAGACAAGGAAATGTCCCGGCGGCATTCCAAGGTAAAAATGTTGGATTTGTTCCGTTTTTTTCCTGTTCAGAAAATCGTCCGTGTGGGTGTGTCGACGTGTAAGTATTGCTGCGAGAGTTGCTAGTTGGCCGGCGTGTTCCAAGGCCAGGCGGGGACCATGCTTCTTCCACACACACACACCCCACGTTCTGAACACCACGCTCCTTCCCCAGGGCGAAGTTGTTCGCGGCTTCATAGACAACGACATAGATAATGTTATTGTTTTTTTTTGTGAACCCGATTGAATCGCGCAAGAGAAGTACCGGTAAGTATCACGTGGGAAGTGGATCAGCTGAGAACGGTGACGATGTTAGGAACGGTGCCCGGTCTCGCCCCCCCCCCCCCCCACACCCATCCTTAGATACTTCTACCACATCCAAACAAACCCACCAATCCCTTAAATTACCCAATCCTCACACAATTATTTACTCACAATAAATAACAA